GGAATCTAAAAGCTAAAGAACATTTTGCAGCCTTATCTGCTCCATACTTTTGCTCTGCTGCATCTGTCACTTATGCCACACAGGAAAATGACATGGCTAAAAATGTGTTCTCTTTTTACTTTTGAGGTGCTTTTGCTTGAAATTGCAAAATTTGTTCCTTAGCTCTGTCGTTGGGCTGTACCCACTATCTTGCTGTTATATCAGAAGATGAGGCATTTAGTACCACTCCCACTTTGATGTTCGCTCCAAGTTTGTCTACCTATGTATGGCATGTATGTTCATGAGAGTTGGATTTCAATGCTTCTTTGCAGCATTGGAGTTCTGAACAACTGTTGGTTTCCAAGATCCTTACAGTGATGCTCGCCTGCTTTAAGCATAAGCATGCCATCTGAGAAAATTGCCAAGGAATAGCTGGATTTCTGGATGAAGAATAAATGTAATACTCCTTCCTATTTTTATTAACCCCACTTTCCACAAGTGACACAGAAAGAAAAGCTGTGTTGAATGTCTTCTTTAAGCATAGTATGGCTCCTTGTGCATCAGCCACTGTTGATTTATACATATAGTTGATCCTTTTGACAACCTCTCATTTTTAGGATTTGATCCTGTGTAGTCCTGAGATTTCACGATCTCATTTGAAGTCAGTATGTGGCAAATTTGGACTCTGGTGTCAGCATGAAAGGGAAAGGGTCAGAGAGTACAGTTAAGGCAGTATGTGACAGTGAAACCTTACGCTAACCATTGCTTGCAGTTAAATGTGTTTGTTTTTCAGCCTTTCAGCAATGGGCTGGTGACAGTGATGGTTCCCCAACTCCGGCGGGAAAACAGCCTCCTCCTTTGGAATGTTTTTGACCTGAACACACCAGTCCACACTTTTGTGGGACATGATGATGTAGTGCTGGAGTTTCAGTGGCGAAAACAGAAGGAAGGTGAGAGCAAGACCTCTAAGTGCTCTGCCCCCTATACTGTATTTATGGAGCTGTCATTTATGTGCAGTGACTACTGAAGTGTGCCTCATCACTGCACAGTACTGAGACATGGCTGTTAAACCATTGCACCTATTTGAACTAGATCCAAGTGCACTAGGCAGAAATCAAGGTGACTGTTCTGTCTATGGCCTGCCACTTATTTCTCTATGCCTTAATTTCCCTTTCAGGAAAATTGGGGTGTTGGTACTGACCTCCTTTTGATATCTACAAAGATGTATTTTTATATATGCATATTCATTTCACCTCACTCAGTCTGTATGAATTGTGCTGATTTAACTAGAGCAGTTTAAATCACAACTTTCATTAAACTGGGGCAATTAAACTGCTTTAGTTATCAGTGTCAGAAGGTTCAAACTAATGTGTGTGCTTAGACAACTGCAGAACAGGTGATGTAAAAGCCCCAAACCTTCTTTACCTCACAGTATCTCTTGTTTACATGTCCACATCTTAACCCTATAGGCAAAATCTAAACCAATTGCAAGGCAACTTTTAAAGCTATTTAAGAATATCTAGACACTGTTACACTGTGTAACTAACTAAATCAGTTTTTACGTCAGTTAGGCAAACTTGGAGATACCTTTTATTTAGGGAAGCTCTTATTATGTTCATGTGTTGGACATCTATAACATTCCAGCTTGAAGGTACAGTGTTACCATCCAGGTCCTCCAGGGATTGCCAAAGTTGTTTCAAGAGTTGGGGTGGAGAGGGTGGGAATGGAAAACTGGGACCTGATATTTATTCCTAATGTCACAGAAAGCTAAATCTCTTTTTTCTACATAAAGGAGATGCAATTGTCTAAAAAAAAAAAAAAAATTTCTATTTTGCTGTTCACCTTTGAAGCTGTTCATTTAATTTTCAGATAGTGATAAGTGTCCCTTTGAAAACAAATGCCTCATAGGAAAATGTGTTCATTTCCCATTTGAAAACTTTATTTGCTCTTCATTTTTCACCTGAAAATCTAACCCCTGTTGTACAAATAGGGAAACTGAATTGCAGAGAAGGATAACAACTTAATTTGTCTTTGATAGCCCAACAAGTCAGTGGCAAAAACAGAAATAAAACATGTAAATCCTGACTCTCAATTCAGCCCTCTGCTTGATTTAATCCACTAATACAGTACACAGGGTTAAGGAGGTAAATCCATTTTCAGTGAGTTTTAGAAATTTATTTTCTCTCTTTTAGGCTCCAAAGACTACCAGCTAGTCACATGGTCTCGTGACCAGACCCTGAGGATGTGGCGGGTGGATTCCCAACTGCAGAGGGTATGTGAGTCATCTGGTGTTGGTTGCAGAGATTTTTCTGTAGCGCTAAATAAAGTGCTAAAAATCCATGGTCTTTTCCCTGGGTGCAGGCACCAGAGCATTGCTAAGGTCTGCACAATGTGGCTTTTGCATGTAGGTCCCCACCAGGCTAATTTTATGCTCTGTACAGAAATAAGTTGCTTCACTCAGATTTCTCGTTCCTTGTATACTCTGGGCTGCCTTCATATGATGCCTAGCATGTAGCATATGTTGTGCTTGCTCTTTTCAGCTGTGTGCTAATGATATCCTGGATGGAGTTGATGAGCTCATAGATGGGATTTCTCTTCTGCCAGAACCCGACAAGACTCTCCATACCCAGGATTCTGAACCACAGCATAACTCCGGGCATGGGGATGAGGAAGGTGAGACAAGCTGAGTCTTGTAGCAAGAAGTTGTGTGCTATTTAGGGTTTCCTAGGCCAAAACCAGCTTTTAAACTCCACCTGGAAAACAATGGGCAGCAAGTCGTGCTTTGCAAAGAATTGGATCTGTTTGAAAGTGCTTTTGAACCACACTCCAAAACTGTGCAGCAACCTGTAGTTGATAATTCTTTCCTATTGAAAATTCCTGTATGCTTGGTGAGCATTCCTGCCCTGCTTCTTCCAGAGCCAAGACTTGGTCCAGGCCCTGGAGATTTGAGTGTTATCTGTAAGTCCTATTGTTCGGGTATGTCCCTATCATCCTGGCTGCCTGCTAGCACCCTGCATGCCAGGAGACTGACAGATTCACTCAGACTTGTTTTTGCAGCCTATGACAGCTTGTTTTCTTTCTCTCTCTCTCTTTCCTGCCAGCCTTAAAAGAAGACTTTGAGAACAAACTTCTGGCAGGAAAGAAATCAGACCAGCCAGGTCTGCCGCAAACGCTGCAACAAGAATTTTCCCTGATCAACGTGCAAATCCGAAATGTCAATGTGGAGGTACTGAGGCCATTTGCTCTCAGTGGTTCCTATATTGGACTAGGGATGCAGGAGGTTATCTGAGCCAGATAGTAGGAAGACAGGGTACTGAGGAATAAGGCTGATTAGGTAGAATCAACCCAGTAAGGATTTAAAGTCCTGGATGCACTCTCCCCTGTAGCTGTTTTCCTGGTAGAATGGAAAAGTTTGGCAGGAAAAAAGATAGCTGCTATAAGAAGGTTCCTGGTATTGACGCTCAGCAGTGGATCCAAGGCTTGGATTCCAGGCTAGGGGCAAGCTTCAGGAACTAAACAGACTGAGGGATTGATTCTGAATGGCTTATGCCCATCTCCTGGCTGGCAGTACTGAAAGTGGCCACAGAAAATGGGAACCCCAGATTCTCTTCCCATACCAAGCCAGCGGAGAACTGCCAGCCCATGAGCCCAGTGGGCCGTGAACTTTCCCTACAGCAGTACAGGCAGCCCCCAGCGTTAAGTGAAACGAGCATTAAGCAAAATCGAAAGTATTTTTGTGACCCAAGACGGCGACCGCATTTATTTTTAATGACCCAAGATGGCGACTGTGAGTGTTATAACGAAACTTGCTGAGCGCTAAGTGAAATCGGGCATAAGTTTTAGATGAGTGTTATAGTGAAACAGCGCTAAGCGAAACAGCATTAAGCAGGGGTTGCCTGTATTCTTCAACCTCATTAGACTCAAGGCACTCCTCAGATAATACCAGCTCTTAGTTTTCATTCATTTTTTACTATGGAAGAAAAATTAAGCATTTTTTGTGTTGTAAAGAGTTTATAAAGACTGTTTTCAGAAGGTTTTTTGACACTATGGATTCCTATTTGAAGTCTTCCAGTTTATCTTGTGAATCAGGTGTTTGCAGGCATAATGCCAATATTATGCAGCACTTTAGCACCCTTAAAAGAACCCATCACAGGTTGCCACGGTACCCTAGCTGAGAATCGCTACTTACAGTCTGGTAGTATCTAAAGAAATCTACTGAGATCAGGGCTTATGGTGCTAGGCATGATATACACACCTTATGAGATCTTATCCCAAAGGCTTATAGGCTTGGAGACCAGACAAATGGCAAGAAGGGAAACTTGAAGCACAAAGGATGTAGCATGTTCAGGTCACATAGCAAGTCAGTGGTAGCATTAAGACTAGAACCTGGATTTCATGAGTTCCAAACTAGTTTGCCTTGTCCGGTAGCTTGGGGACTAGGTCATAGAAACATAGAATCATAGAAAAATTAGGGTTGGAAGGGACCTTGGGAGGTCATCTAGTCCAGCCCCCTGCTCAAAGCAGGACCATCCCCAGCTAGATCATCCCAGCCAAAGCTTTGTCTAACTGGTTTTAAAAACCTCCAAGGATGGAGATTCCACCTCCTCTGGGTAACCAGTTTGTGTTTTACTACCCTACTAGTGAGGAAATTCTTCCTGATATCTAACCTAAACTTCCCTTGCTGCAACTTGAGACCATTGCTCCTCATTAAGAACAGTCTTGCTCCATCCTCTTTTGAACCCCCCTTCAGGTAGTTGAATGCTGCTATTAAAACCCACCTTAGTCTCTTCTCTAAACTAAATAAGTCCAGTTCCCTCTGGCTGTCCTCATAAGTCATGTGCCCCAGCCTCCTCACCATTTTTGTTGCCCTCCGCTGGACTCTCTTCAATTTGTCCACATACTTTCTGTAATGGGGGCACAAAACTGGACACAGTACTCCAAATGTGGCCTCACCAGTGCTGAATAAAAGGCAATAATTTCCTTTGACCTACTGGTAACACGCTTACCTATGCAGTCCAGTATGCCATTGGCCTTGGCAACTAGGGCACACTGTTTGCTCATATTCAGTTTGTGCACTGTAACCCCCAGGCCCTTTTCTGCAGAACTGCGGCCCAGCTAGTCAGCCCCTAGCATGGGACTGTTCCATCCTAAGTGCAGGACTTGGTACTTGTCCTTCTTGAATCTCATGAGATTTTTTCTTTTGGCCCAATCCTCCAATTTTTCTAGGTCACTCTGAATCCTAGCCCTACTTTCCACATCTGCTATTCCCCACAGCTTGGTGTCATGTGCAGACTTTCTGAGGGTGCACTCTGTACCATCTTCCAGGTCACTGATGAAGGCATTAAACAAAATTGGCCCCAGCAGCAACCCCTGGGCACTCCACATGAGCCATTGTTTTACTACTCTCTGAGTCCAATGCTTCAGCCAGATTTCTGTCCACCTTACAGTCCATTCATCCAGCCCGTTCCTTAGCTTGCCTGTGAGAATGTTGTGGGAGACTGTATCAAAAGCCTTGCTAAAATCAAGGTACACTACATCCACTGGTCTCCCCACATCCACATAGCCAGTCACCTTGTCATAGACAATCAAGTTGGCTATACTCTGTACAGGAGGGATCGAGTGGACAAAAGGGGTGGGGGCATAGCTCTCTATGCCAAGGAAAGCTACGTGTCCCTGCAAGCTGACATTGGCACCCAGGGTGGATGACTAGAGACCCTCTGGGTTAAAATCTGTGGGGAACACGGCACAGGGGATACTGTGGTGGGGGTCTACTACAGACCCCCTACCCAGAGTCAAGACCTTGACCAGGAGTTCACCAGGGAATTGGCTGAGGCCGCACAATCCTGGTGTATGGTTGTCATGGGAGACTCTAACTACCCAGATCTCATGGGAGGAGCCACTCGGCCAAATCCGAGCGGTCGCAAAGCTTTCTTTCATGTGGACGATCTCTATCTGATGCAGGAAGTCTACAGGCCAACAAGAGGTAAAGGACTGCTCGACCTCGTACTGGCAACCAGGGGTGACCTAATTGGCAACCTAGCAATCGAAGGGAAGCTGGGTGAAAGTGATTGTGAACTGATCGCCTTCACCATCTGCTGTAAAGCTGGCAAGTCAGTCAGTTGTACAGAAGTCTTTGACTTCAGGAAAGCTGACTTTGACAAGCTAAGGAGGCTTGTCAGAGAGGCCCTAAAAGGCCACAACCCAATGGAGAGGGGAGTTCAGGATGCGTGGAT